AAACTCTTGTTGCAAAATATATTGTTCTCTAAAACAAAATCATATTTTCGTAATACATGACTGCTTAGTTTATACTCTAATTAGTAGTGATGTACTAATATGATAAATTATAAAACGTTTTGTAAGAACATTTATTTTTGGATTTGATGAAATTATAGAATTTGCCATCACAATGATGATCATTATTGTATCCGAGTCTGGATGGTAAAAAAAAAAAGAGAAAATAAAATATCAGTTTGAGACGATAACATGTCTAGATATTTAAGTATAGCACTGCAATAATTTTATTTTTCATGAGCAAGGAAAGAGACATTGTGTGAATTTCAATATGATACAAAAAAATATATTGATATCCCATTACAACACAACAGTAATGCTTAACAAAAAATATTTGTCACAAAAATAATTTCTTGTTAGATTTACATAGACTGGAATGTGAGGATGACGGCCAGTTGCATAGCAAGTAGTTGTACAGAATGACTTATTTCCTTTCATGGAGTGGAATGATATTTTCTGGGAAGACATTAATGAACAGGTGTTTACTGGAATCAGTCAGGGCAGCCAGTGGATGAGATATGCACGTCATGCGCAATTTCATATTATCCAATTGAATGACTTAATAAAGTAACTAAATAGTTTGTGGAAATGTCAAATGTTAAAAATCATTTTGTAGAAGATTGTTATAAAGTAGTAAGCTGAATCATAAAGAGCATAACAGTGACTGAGAGCCATAATCAGAACAACCGAATTAACTGCTGACGGATTAACACACCGGCTGAATTACATAACAAAATTAAACCATTCTTGTGTACCAAAAAATCAACGCATTATATCATTCTCGTGATGGACCAAAACACAACGCAATTAATGTTAGTTTCATAAAGAAAAAATCCAGATGAGCGCCAGTAGGTACCTGATGGTTACATTTATACGGTGGGAAGAGCAACTAGCATGTATGCACCGAATATAAGTATCTATAGGTATCCTTTCTATCTAATGATAAATATGGTTTTAGCAGAAGGAATTGGCGGTGTGAAGATTGTGCCAAGTGAAAACAGCAGTCGCATTCCCCATGTGTATGTTTGGGGTCAGTGACTAGTACGACGATGAACCCGGAACAGAGCCAAGTCTCCAGTTTCCCAGATATGTATGAAATAAAAAAAAAAAGTAGAAAGTTTTGACGGCTAAAGACCTGTCCACAACGTCAGGCACCTGTGAAGATGACGTCACAAAGTGGAACTACTTGTTTGACGAGCACTTTGCCCACCTGTGACGTCATCTCTGCGCGCGCCCGCCGATCATGTTCGCTCATGCGAATTTGTGCAACATAAAGTATCTCAAGTAGCGGTTAGGAGACTGACACTGCGAGCTGGATCTTGGCCTCTGCAACTGAGGGTTTCGAGCACCGCGGCCTAGACCACGCGAGCGGCAACGCGCGAGGGCTTGCGCGCCTCCGCCGACGCCTTGATGGTGACGGCTCCCTGCATCCTCTGCAGGAGGGAGGGCGGCAGCGGGAAATCGTGGTGAAGCTCTGCCCACGTCTCGCCGTCCTTCACGCTCTCGCCGACCACCTGCAAGTTGCGTTAAAGTGTGATGAATTCACGCCATGAATGAAGGACGAGATTTGTTGAGGAGTCTCGAGAATAACGCCATACCTACCTTGACGAGCATGATGCCCACGCTGTAGTTGATCGGGTCGCCGACCTTGTTCCTGCCAGCCCCCAGCTCTAAACTGATCTTTGCCATAGCCATCGCATCCATACCAACTAACACTCCTGAAAAGGTATAAAACTCGTTAGAAATACCCTCAATGCCATTCTTAAGTAACGAGTTTAAAATTAATGAGCGAGGTAACATACTTATCATGAGTTCAGATGGTCATAGAAATAACAGTTCAGACCTGAGGAAGCAGCTTTGACGGCAGTGACATGAGCCGAGGAAGGTAGATGGGAGTAGTCGGGAGCATCACCACACAGTGCCTCTGCTACGCTCTTGGTGACGCCCTTTGGGAGGAAGGTTGGCTCTCAGTCGCCTTGAAACGGTGCAGTGGTACATACTTGTTTACTTTGGTCTGACTTGGACGATGATACATAAATTCGCGAATCACAATATGACAGAGCTATGTTTACGATTAGTGTATACTGTACCTGCTTCTGTATCATGTTACAGAAAGCTGTTCTGGCACTGCCATCCCTCAGGGTCTTAGCCAACTTCTGGCGAGCTTCCTCCAGTGTAGAGGCCGCTCCCGCACCCAGCAGTAACTCTCCACCTGCAGATGAATAGGAGTATTTTCTTGACATACTGCAAGTAGCTCATAACAGCGTTCATGCCTTACATACGCTTTTCTGTCGTACTTTTTTTCAGTTGTTAAACTGAAACTATATTAATTGCTAAACTAAATAAAAATTATAATTTTTCATTGTGACATTTACTGACATCTATACTATGCCTCTGGGACATTATTTACATTTAGCATTTAGGTAACGCAAATACAGCAAAG